TTCAAGTGTCTGATGAGGATAGTGAGGAGGATAAGGTGAGAGATGAGTGAGTGTAGAGAACTGTGGTAAGCAGAACTAGGCTACTGTCACAACACTTAGGCTATGTAGAAACCCACTACCCAGTTACGCATTATTTCCACATCTGCATATTTGACGATTACGCATTTTATTAGAACTGTAATGAGATGAGTTTGTAAACCATGTTTTCCGTCAAAATAAAAGATCATGTGCTTATCTCTTTCAAGTATAGAAATTAGTACGAAACTAATTATGAAAGTTGCATTTATTTTTCAATGCATTTGTTTTACAACATATGGCTATTACTGCCATGGGATTAATATTATAACTAGTATATTATGTAGTAGTGTAATGTAGACAGACACTATATCACAACTAAAAGAGTTTTGGGTTTTTCTTTGTTCAATTTGCACACTGAAAATGGGTTGGAGCTCTTAATTTTGAACTCTCAAAGTGCACCAGATTGATGAATTTAACATTAAAAAGCACAACATTTTTAGGATTACTGTGGAGTATAGTTCAACTTAGTAGTTATTTCATCTGTTAACTCTTACTCACTCCTATTCACTTATTACATGGCATTAGTGGTTTTAATAGGAGTTGATATACATATTCAAGGGTGTGCAAAGTTCGGTTATGTTTATGATCATATGTAGTGGGCCAGTCTGGGCCAAAATGCCCGGGCCGATTTTTTGTCCCAGTCCACCCCTGGCACAACGTGACCTAGGGTGAGTGGTTTTAGTGTCCTTTGTATTACTGGTTCTGACAGTTGTCACTGCCATTGGGCATGCACTCCCCTCAGTATGGCGGCGTGGGTATTTCGTTCCCCATAACGTCGATGACGTATTGTTGAGTTCCCTTCGAAAGGGAACGTCTCAGGTTACGACTGTTACCTATGTTCCCTGAGAACAGGGAACGAGACAATACGTCTCCCTGCCATACCTCGGGGCCTGCCTGCAACAGTCCCTTCAGACGATAGGATGTTGTCACGGTTTCAAGGCACCCTTTTTATACATCCAGGTTGCGCGCTCATCATTCAAGCTGATGATGCACGGGCTGTCGCCGGTCACCATGATTGCTGTGAGATGATATTTGATTTCAGACACCTGTCACGCCTGAGGCGTTCCCCATAACGTCGATGACGTATTGTCTCGTTCCCTGTTCTCAGGGAACATAGGTTACAGTCGTAACCTGAGACGATACACCTAAGTATGATTAGCACAAAATGTAGCATATTTTCTCCTCGGACAGTACACATACAACATAGAAGGACAGACAACATGCTTGATGTTTATTAGACATAATAAATCCCATTGTGCTGAAATATATATATATATATATATATATATATATATAATGTCATTGACAAATTAACCTTCAAAAACTGTTTGTTTTTTTCTTTATCTTTTCAAAATTTTTACATTTTTTATTCTTAAGACACCATTTTAAATAGTTTTTTAGACTGTTCATTTGTGCGGACAGTTGCACAGCACAACCTGACATTTTTGGGGATTTAAAATAACAAAACATAAAATATGTATTTTAAATGTACTAAAATGAATTTTAAACTAAATAGGTTTTATAGATTAAAGTGATGTATGTCATGAATTTATAAAATTATGTTGCTTGGACACTTACAACTTTACAAGTTACAAGTTTACACATAGTTTAAGAACACAAAAATACTTCAAAACAACTGCAATATGGTCTTTAACCAAAGTAACGTTAGCCAGAAATATGTTAACAAAGGCAGATAAGGCTGGTTCATGGTTAAACAAATGTGGTAAATCCCTTCTAATTAACGGATTATACTAAGACACACAATTACAGGGAAGAAATATTGTAATGCCACACTATACAATGACATTCTAGAGAATTCTCTGCTTCCAACTATAATGGCATTAGTTTAGGGGGTAATGCTCACACACAATATGCACAAGGAAACGGTGTCCTTGCTAATGAAGAACTACAGCAGTTGACCTACAGCACACAAAGACGAAATATGCAAATACTGTCGATATGCAAGACATACACTGATCAGCCACATTAAAACCACTGAAAGGTAAAGTGAATAACATTGATTAAACTGTTACAAAGGCATCTGTCAAGGTGTGGGATATATTCGGCAACAAGTGAACTGTCAGTTTTTGAATTTCATGTGTTGGAAGCAGGAAAAATGGGCAAGTGAAAAGATCTGAGTGATTTCGTCTTTGTGTGCTGTAGGTCAACTAATGTAGTTCTTCATTAGCAAGGACACCGTTTCCTTGTGCATATTGTGTGTGAGCATTACCCCCTAAACTAATGTCATTAGTTGGAAGCAGAGAATTCTCTAGAATGTCATTGTATAGTATGGCATTACAATATTTATTCCCTGTAATTGTGTGTCTTAGTATAATCCGTTAATTAGAAGGGATTTAGGTTATAAGGCTCTGGTCTGTTGTACATATTGTTAATCAAAGGTTTTTGCTGCCTTGCAAACATCACTATGGAACAGCAGCAGAGCCTTGAATTCAGGTAATCATTATTTGTTTTTCATTTATCAACTTTATATTAAATAATTCAAATTTAGATCTTCACAAACATTTAGTTATGCAGCTAAATGCTTATTTTCTAATTAAAATGTTTTATTATTCCACTTTCTCCCAAATTGATTTCTTTATAAAGAACGGTCACAAAAAAAAAACAATAAGTAAAATTTAGTTTCAAATATTTTTTTTTTTTGCACTAATATTTTTTGAGTAAATTTCACACAGAATTAAGTAAACTATACTTAACTAAGTTATGTGAAAGTAAAATAAATTAAGTAAGTTTTACTTAACTAATAAAAAGCTGAGTAATATCTATTTGGTTGAAGTTTTCCTTATCATGCACTGGACCTTGAATAATTAATAAGGTTAATTTTTTTTACTGGTTTCCAGCTGTATTTACACTGTTTTATCATTGCTTTTGTTGTCAGGATTAGTAACTTGCCATTTTGTGACATTTCGAGTAAATTTTCTGCTCAAAATGACACATTCAAACACAAAAACGATCCATCAAATGTTACCGTCATTGTGTATTGTCTACCAAGTATTGAGGTCTTTGCATTCACATCATGCTTAACATCTGACATGAAATATAAATTACTTTGATACTCTAAGTAAAACACATACTATAAATGACTGGTATAATTCAATAAAATTGTTTGAGTGAAATGTAATGCAAAGGAAATTACAGCTAAATTGATATTAATCAACCTTTTACTAGCCAAATTAAAATTACTTATTTTCTTTGAAGTTTACTTAATTCCATATTCCAAGTAAATTTGAACTTAAAGATTTCTAAATTAAAGCTACTGATAAATATTTAGGTTTTTACTTGGCAAATCTTTGTAAATTTACAAGCATTTTCTGAGTGAAAAAAGTTGCCTAGCTTTTTTCCAAGTAAATCCTACTCCAAAATGTTTTCAGTGTACTATAGAATTTACTTTTTTTTTTTTTTTTTTTGCCTGAACTAACTTTTTCATGTAAATTACATTGTTTTTTTTCTGTAGAATTTACTTCACCACAAAATCATTTTTATCAGTGTCGCGCGTGTAACGCTTCACAATTAAATTTTCAGACCATACAATGCAAATGGAAAAATGAAAAATTTAAACCAGACATTTAGTTACAATATCAATGGATAGTTGCCTTTGGGTCCGTGTACTTTTTCGTTCAATCATTATTCTATTTCGGAATGAAAGATGAAATTTAAAAAAGGGTGCAGCTTGGTTTTTTGTTTAAAAGAAAAAAAAAGCAGAAATGGCTGTATTTTGTTTTCCAAATTTATTGTTGTCATCAAATAATAGTATTAGAAAATTGGACAACATTTACAATCGTTTTTTAATTTGTAATATTTATTTGTACGTTTATTGTATTTCATTTGACTCAGAGCCGGCGCCAGCCGAGCGCTGATGAGGGGGCGTCTGAAATACAGTTCACATTAACGCACGTCACCACTCTTTTGCCAGGGTCGATATTCTCCCCACCACTTTTTAAAACATCTTTAAAAAAGGACCAGGAACAATTATTTACCTATACCTGGCATATTCATTCAATCTCTCTAGCATGATAAATACCAATTTAAAAAAAAATATTCGATTAAGCTATTCCCTTTTTTTCTTCCCAAACAGGGAAGAATCTTGGGATGTGTGCAGAGAAGTGCCGATTATTCAAGATGAGCAGATACCAAAGAAACGAGTGCAGTGTTTGAAATGGTTCTCGTGTGCCATAGTTGGCGTACTTGTCTTTGCCCTTGCGCTGCTCAGTAAAGTGAGCTACTTTATTAATCATTGGCTAATCATTTTTGGATGATAGGATAACAATTAACTTGTCTATTGAATATTACACAAAAGGCTCGGTTTGACTGAAACTATTATTTTTTTCTTTACAGACATCATTTTTGCTTTTGATAACATTTGGGAACAATAACACTGAGATTATATGTTCAGAAAAGAAGCCGGCCGCCCTACTTGGCATCGGCTTTGTTCTGGTTGGGCCGAGTGTTCTCATTTTGCTAAAAAGCACATGGAAGTTCATTTTCAAGAGTGCAGCCATGCCCTCTAAAAAAACTGTTTTTTGGGTAAGCAAACAGAGTTTTTGTTAAACAGATGTATAGTAGCAGAGAAACGTCTCGGTTACGTATGTAACCCTCGTTCCCCGAGTAGGGAACGGAGACGTTCCGTCGGATGACGACGATTGGGGTTTCGCTTAGAAGCCTATCACCTTCGAGTATTACAAAACGAGCCAATGGCAAGAAAATGCCATGGGTCTGCGGAATTTGCATAGCGTAATATAAGGAAGTACGCTGCATCACGCAGTTATGTTTTCCTGCTGAGGAGCCGAGACTGAACTCAGGCGTGTCCAGCGGTACAGCGGAAGTGGCCAAAAGATGGAACGTCTCCGTTCCCTACTTGGGGGGGCCGAGACGTTCCCCATAGTTGTCACTCCGAGTTCCGTCGGATGACGACGATTGGGGTTACCAGTCAAATCCCTCCACCTTCACAGCTGTCTTCCAGTGCCCTGCGTAAATCTGAAATCCCTGTCGTGAAGTTAGCACGGAGGAAGGACTCCTATTTAGCACAGGAATACCAAGGTACACTGGAAAGCATATCTCAGTAGAAATATGCAACACACTGCCTGCCCGAAGGGAGGTCTTACAGAATGCACATATGACCCCGAAGGGATGCATATGGAAGAACACTGGAGTGTCCAGCCCGAAGGGTGGAATCTTTCAACCCCAGGGGTTGTAAGGTGGCTTGCCGAGGAAAAGACACATGCTCAAGGAGTCTTTCAGTGGAAATACACACGTGGGGGTCGCCAGAGGGGAACCATGCACATGGGGTACCTGGCCAACGCGAAAGCTGCCAGCGGCATAACTCTGGCGTTGACGTCAACAGCGCTGGAGGAACTCAGGGCTTCTCGGGGAAACTCACCTGAGGAGAATATCGCACTGATCCAGTCCGTGGAGTGGAATGGCGAGCAAGCAAAGACACCTGAGCACCGGCTAGTTGAAGCGAGTACATTGGAGGATACTGGCTCCACTCGGAGATTGTAGAATCTAGCGAATGTGTTGGGTGTCGCCCAGCCTGCAGCTCTGCAGATGTCTGTTATCGAGGCGCCATGCGCTAGAGCCCAAGAGGAGGCCACACTCTGGGTGGAGTGGGCCGTCACACCAAGGGGGCACGGTCGGCCTTGCTGCTGGTAAGCCAAAGCAATGGCGTCCACTCCAGTGGGACAGCCTTTGCTTCGAGAGAGCCTTTCCCTTCAGCTTCCCACCATAACAGACAAAGAGCTGGTCTGAGGTCCTGAAACACTGCGTCCTGTCTACGTAGGCACGGAGAGCGCGTACTTGACAGAGCAGCGCCAAGGATGGGTCTGCCTCCTCCAGGGGCAGGTTCACTACCTGATCTCAAAAGGAAGTGGTAGGAACCTTGGGCACATATCCAGGCCGGGGTCTCAGGATCACGTGAGAGTTAGCTGGCCCGAATTCCAGGCATGCTTCGTCTACTGAAAATGCCTGCAGGTCCCCTACCCTCTTAACGGAGGCCAGTGCAATCAGGAGTCCTGTCTTCATTGACAGGAATTTTAGCTCCACTGACTGCAGAGGCTCAAAGGGAGCACTCTTCAGGGCAGTTAAGACCACTGAGAGGTCCCAAGAGGGTACGAGAGGAAGGCGAGGAGGATTCAGTCTCCTAGCTCCTCTCAGAAACCTGATGACCAGGTCGTGCTTCCCAACGGACCTACCGTCAATTAAAACATGATGTGCGGCAATGGCGGCGACATAGACTTTTAGAGTGGAGGGAGACAGCCTTCTCTCCAACCCATCTTGAAGAAAAGAAAGCACGACACTGATAGGGCAAGTACTGGGGTCTTCTTGGCGAGAAGAGCACCAGGAGACGAAGAGGTTCCACTTCAACTCATAGAGGTGTCTCGTGGACAACGCTCTAAAGGGAGTGATGGTAGCCACCACCGCTGGTGGTAGGGTACTCAAACCTGCATCGTCCCGTTGAGAAGCCACACGTCAGGTTGCATAGATCGGGATGAGGGTGCCAAAGGGTGCCCTCTCTCTGAGAAAGGAGGTCCTTCCTCAGAGGTATAGGCCAGGGAGGGGCTGTGGCGTTAGGTCAGAGCATAAGGTCTGATAACCAAGTCCGGGTGGGCCAATGGGGCGCAACCAGAAGGACCTGCTCGTCGTCCTCCCTGATCTTGCACAGGGTCTGTGCGAGAAGGCTCACTGGGGGAAACGCATACTTGCGGAGGCCCCGCGGCCAGCTGTGCAGGTCACCGGGAATGTGGATAGCACGAAGCAACCTCAGATGCTTCTGACTCCATAGGAGAAGGTGGCCAGCGAAATGTGACATACTGCGAGAGCGTAGACCTCCTTGATGGTTGATGTACGCTATGGTCGCGGTATTGTCCGTACGGACCAGTACATGTTGGTCTTTGAGCATGGCTCTGAAATAGTTTCAGTGGAACCGCATTCTTGCTCTGGACTTGGCGCAGGCAAGTCAGCAGTGACTGCGCACGCTCGCTTGTAAGCTGCGCGGACATGGCGACCGAGTCGATTTCCATACCGAGAAAAGAGAGCACGGGGCAGAGTTTGCTCTTCTCCCAGTTGAACCGAAGGCCCAGATGGGCTAGATGCCGAAGCACTGGGTCTCTGTGTTCGCAAACCTGGTCTCAAGAGTGAGCTAAGATAAGCCAGTCGTCGAGATTGTTCAGGATGCGAACCCCGTGTAACCGGAGTGGCACAAGAGCTGCATCGTGTACCAAAATGCTAAACTAATCGCTTAAAATTATCTCAAGGAACTCGCGGGTTGCTGAGGAGCAGAGGGGGGTGTGGCCCGAGGAAGCATCGTCGGGGAAGAAATTCCACACCGTCACCCTCAGGTCACCCTGGCCACCAGCCAAAGTGTCGCCTCTCGAGGAGGGGACAGATTGGGGTGTGGCAGAGAGGACTCTACCTCTATTGAGGTCACTGAGTCTAGACCTCAACTCAGCGATGGTCATGTTCCCGCAGTGAGAACTGTAAGCCAAAACACGCCAAGCAGCTCCCGTGCCCATCAGAAGATGAGACGGAACGACTGCACCCAGAAATACACGGGCGAGACATCTTTAAAAAGATGTGCCACGTGCAAGCTCTTTTAGTGAGAGGACGCTCAGCAGCCTGCGCTGAAGTGGCCAGGGAGAAACACAAACGCTGGATGCAGACCACTGCACAGATCAGCAGGCAGTAATGTGAAACTCGCTGGAAACGCCTTTGCACCAACACAGACTGGAGAGCTGCTCGTCTCGAAGAATACTTGGTGACAGTCAGAGAGAATTCAGGCTGTAGGAGTGAAGAGGATCTCTTGGCTCCGAAGCAAAAATATAACTGCGTGATGCAGCGTACTTCCTTATATACGCACAGCGCGGGGCGGAGTTACGCTATGCAAATTCCGCAGACTCATGGCATTTTCTTGCCATTGGCTCGTTTTGTAATACTCGAAGGTGATAGGCTTCTAAGCGAAACCCCAATCTTCGTCATCCGACGGAACTCGGAGTGACAACGATGGGGAACTGATTGTTACGGCAGAAACCTTTCTGACTCTGATTTGATCTTTTCTCTAGGTCCTGTGTGTTGAGTTCCTGGTAGCATTGGGAGCTGCGATTCTAACAATAGTAACCATGCCAAACTTTGACATTGTCACTAATATGATGATCCTAAACAGTGTGAGCATCCTGTCAGCAGTGTTCCAGGTAGTCGCTCAGTGCCTCGCCAAAGAGAAGAAGCGGCTTATAATGCTCCCCGTATGCTCCATTTTCTTAATCGTCCTGGGTTATGTGCTTTTTGCAGTCAGTTATCTGGGAATTGAACATTCCCCTCAGATGAGAATATCAATTGGCCTTGCGATCGTGGGCACCATCTGTGTTTCTGTGAACTGGTGGGAAAACTACAGCACGCTCTTCTCCATTTCATTTCTAGGTGACATTTCTAAAGACATCGCTCAGTCCCGTAATGTGGTGTGCATCATCTCCAGTTTGATGAGAATCCTGATTACTTCATCTGTGGTTGGAGCATATGTTCCTCTGTCTGGTCAGAACTGGGAATTGGTCAAATTCGAAACGGTCGTTATTTCATTGGTGGTGCTCCAGATTTTATCCTCTGCGCTGTGCCATTGGTTTGTAGTTGTGGCTTGCAAGATGCACTCCCTGCGCAGCAGCTTCGCCTTGCCCATATACATGGCCTCGGTTGCAGTTTTGGCTGTGTTTTTGATTCCACTTGCATTTAAACTCCCAGAGTCTAATCACACTTCTACTTGTATTGAGAACGTTCAGTCGAAATCCATTGATACATTGTTGCTGTTGATGTTGACTGATGCTACAAAAACTCTACGTGCCAGGTACATTGTGGAAAAAATGAGTACAGAACTGGTGTGCTTGATCTGCTCTGCTCTGAGCTGGTGGTTGGGATTCATGCTCAGTACATTTGGTTACATCTGGTTCCGGAAGATCGATCGAATAGAAAGAACCCAAGATCTGTTCGTGCGACGCATGTATGAAGGAGCATTTCTGGAACAGTCCATGTTGCTGAACACCCGTTTTGAAATTATAAAGAGTACCAAGGACCAGAGGTAAGTGTTTCAACTTTCTGAGTATGGTTGCATATTGTTAATATCAGCCAATATTAGAGATTTTTAAATAATCTGTATCGATGTTGAATATGTAATGGTGCATTCTCATTGTTTTTTACATTTATATGATCTGACTCTTACTTCATGTCCATCTATAAAAAAACTAATTATTTAATAACTAATAATTTAATTAAATACCCATTAAGTCATTAAAAAATATATTTTACTTTAGTGCTTTATTTTTAATATATTTAGACAAATTAGACAAACTTATCTTAATTAAAGCATTTTACACAGTTAATTTGTTACAATTTACAAATGAGATTTTTTTTTAATGTGAAGACATCAGTGAGATTAAAAGGAGAGCAAATGGAGTGTTGCAATAAAACTCGAATTGATTGAGTAAACTCGAATAAAAATAATTTTAATATGAACTCAAACACGTCATATCACATTCTTCCAAATCCAAATTATCATGGCTATCCCATGCACTGTAATTTTGTGGCTTTATACTTTTACTGTATGTCAACTGACAATTGATTCACTTGCTTCTAATTTTACAAATGTTAGTAATTAAATGATATGTATCTGAGAGCAACCTCTGAGCAATTACAGTTTTCCTTTGGATTTCTTAATAAGGAATTATGTTGCGGGAATCAAAATAGGAACGGCATAGCTGGCCTTCCTTACGAACAAGTTACCATAAAAGGCGTAAAGATAGAGCAAGTCTCAAATTTTAAATACCTAGGTACAATCATTGATGATAAACTTTCGTTCCAGGACAATGTGGATTTTATACATAAGAAAACTAGACAGCGTTTAAGTCTACTTAGGAAGTTAAGAAATTTTGACATCGAAAGGAGGATCTTAACTATTGTTTATAGATCGATGATTGAAAGTGTTTTAACTTATAATACTGTTTCATGGTATGGTAATTTAACATTAAAAAACAGAAGAATAAATTAACACGAGTAATTAATGAAGCAAACAAGATTATCGGCCAAAAACAGAGTACATTGCAAGAGCTATTCTCACATTTTCTGGAGAAAAGGGCGTCAGCAGTATATTCAGACCAGACTCATCCCCTTCACTCCTGCTTCGAGATCCTTCCTTCGGGGCGCAGGCTACGTATACCGTATGCCAAGAGGAATATTTATAAAAGATCATTTGTTCGATTGGCGGTTATTGTTTTAAATTCTATTCTCAATTGAGATAGCTTTTATAGGTGTGTGTGAATATGCACACATTGTATTAATTTAACTTATCGTGTATGTATTAACTATGTCTTATGTGTTTTTTATGTGGTATGTAATGTGGTTGTAGAGCCAGTGTCAAAGATGAATTTCTGTCCAGTAAATCTGAACAGACAATAAAGTTAATCAAATCAAATCAAATCAAATATGTGTTCCTCAGCACAAAAGATACTATCAGAGTGTTTCTGTGTGCAACAATGTGGCATGAGACCTACGATGAAATGATGAAGATAATCATCTCTATGTTCAGGTAAACAACATACACTTACTTATTCAGTCTCAATTGAATTGTACTTGTAATTGAAAATTATTTATTTTACTACCAGGCTCGATAAATACAGGCCCTGCGTAAATACAAGCGACAATCATAGCGATGTCCAGTTTGAATTCCATATTTATTTTGATGACGCTTTCATGGATGTTCATAATGGAGGGCAGCGGCATGCAAATGAATACGCTGAAATTATTGTGGATGTAATTAAAGAAGTTTACACGTAAGAATCCTCTTTATTTTGATCTGTTTATGGTTACTGAGAATTTATGGGAATAACTAATCGAATAATACTTCACATGCATTAGCATTTTTAGTGAGGAGGATCCATGTATATTCAAGCAGACGCCACAGAAGATCATAAACACACCCTATGGAGGTCGTCTGGAATACACCCTTCCTAAAGGCAATGTGATGATGGTTCACTTCAAAGACAAGCAACTTATTCGTCACAAAAAAAGATGGTCTCAGGTAAGGGTCATGCAGCTAAACACAGGTGCAGATGTTTTGGACCCAGATCTTCACTAATCATCTGTGTTTGCAGATAATGTACTTGTATTACATTTTTGGTTGGAGACTTAACAGACACTTCAAAAAGTTTGATGCAAGAGAAGGACTGGATGACCTTAAGGAGAGACTGAAGGTTAGATGTTTAACTTTAAAATTCACCTCTAGTATTTCTACAGAATAATACAATATCAGCTATGGACTCTGAATGTTTTAATGCTAATTAGAGAGACAAGGAGAACACGTATATCTTGGCCCTGGATGGGGATACTGATTTCCAGCCGTCCGCAGTCATGCTGTTAATTGACAGACTAAAACTCTACCCAGAAGTTGGGGCAGCCTGTGGCAGGATTCATCCAACAGGCACAGGTTGGATATGTATATATATATATATATATATATATATATATATATATTAAGTATATTGTTATCAGGTCATTATATTGTTTTTGATTCAATTCAATTCAATTCAAATTTATTTGTATAGCGCTTTTCACAATACGCATTGCTTCAAAGCAGCTTTACAGAAAGTGCATTTCGCAAATGTACATAGAAAATATAGTTAGTTAATCATGTATTAATTTAGGGCATAACATATCGCCGGCATTGAGTCGTCTCTTCACAGGCGACTCAACTTTCATTCATTACTTTAAAATGTTCTTAATATCTAGAATACTCTACCATTCAAAAGTTTTAGTTCAGTCAGATTTTATTATTATCAGCTGTTAACTTTCAGGAGTACATTACTATGGACTATATGAAGCTAATAGGCATTGACTAAAAGCCATACAACTCTAATATGATTGTTTTTACTGTATTTTTGATCAAATAAATGCAACCTTCGTGAGCATAAGAGACTTCTTTCAAAAACATTTTGAAAATCTTTCTGGAACCCAAACTTTTAAACACATTCTAGAATGGTTTTCAAAGTATGAGGCAGAGGAAGTGTGAAGAATAATTAACCAGATAAAACGTCATTGGGTTACGACTGTAACCCTTGTTCCCTGAGAAAGGGAACGAGAACTGCGTCGAATGACACTTTGGGGGAACGAGTACCCACTATGCCACAACGCACCCTGCCTGTCCCAGTGTGAAGCTGCTCACAGGCACACTTAGGAAGAGAGCACAAGAGTGCCAGGTGTAGACAGAATGTCCAGACTGTAAAACCTAATAAAGGTATGGGGGGTGGCACATCCAGCTGCATCGCAGACCTCCTGGATCGGGGCCCCCGAGAGGAGGGCTCTAGAGGACGTCATGCCTCTGGTTGAATGAGCCCTCACGGCCAAAGGTGAAGGCAAATTGCGCACCTGGTAGGCCAAAGAAATAGCCTGGACAATCCAGTTGCTAATGGTTTGTTTGGAGGCGGGAAGTCCCTTCTTGGGCGACCCAAAACACACCAGCAACTGGTCTGACTTCCGCCATGAAGAGGACCTCTGAATATAAATTTTGAACACCTGATCACAGAGCAGATGAAGTCACTCCTCATCCGCCGTCACGTGAGGTGGAGGATGAAAAGCCTGTAGAACCGTTGGCCATGCCGCATTGGATGGCACCTTAGGCAAATAGCCCGGCCTGGGATGTAGGATGGCTTTAATGTCTTCTGGAGCAAACTCCAGGCACCCGATAGATATGGAGAGTGCTTGAAGATCTCCTACCCTCCTCAGAGAAGTTATGGCCAACAGAAAAAACACCTTCAGGGAAAGGTTCTTGGCCTCAGCAGACTCCAGTGGTTCGAAGGGGGCCTCGGCCAGCCCTTCGATAACCACTGCCAGGTCCCAAGTGGGAACCCTGGTACGAGCCGCAGGTCTCATCCTCCAAGCCCCACGGAGGAAACATACGACCAACTGCTGCCTCCCAAGAGGTCCATCACCCAGAGGAGCGTGGAAAGCCACAATGGCAGCCACGTACACCTTGAGTGTGGACGGGGTAAGGCCAGCTGAAAAGCGATCTTGGAGGAACTCCGGAACTGAAGCCACTGGGCAGTTAACTGGATCCACCTCACGCTCTCTACACCAATTGGTAAAGACCTTCCACTTTAAGCCGTACAATCTCCTCGTGGAAGGAGCTGTAGAGCTGAGTATGGTCTCCACTACTCCAGCTGATAGGCCGGTCTCTAGGTACTGTGCCCCCTCAGGGGCCAGACCCACAGTTTCCATAACTCGGGCCGAGGGTGAAATATTGAGCCCTCTGCCTGTGTCAGCAGGTCCCTCCTGAGGGGAATCTCCCACTGAGGGCCGTCTAGGAGCGATATAATGTCTGAGAACCATACTCGGGCCGGCCACAACGGGGCTACCAGCAGTAGACTGATCCCGTCGCGATGGACCCTCTCTAGAACTCCCGGGAGCAGAGCGATCGGGGGAAATGCATACAGACACAGCCTCGGCCACGTTTGCACCATGGCATCCAACCCCAGCGGGGCTGGATGAGTGAGGGAAAACCACAGTGGACAATGGGTCGTATCTTGAGACGCGAACAGGTCCACTTCCACTAGGCCGAACCTCTGAGATATTATTCCACTCGGGGTGGAGTCTCCATTCCCCGGGCCTCAGCCCCTGTCTCGACAGGATGTCTGCTCCCTGATTTTGACTTCCTGGGATATATATGTTGCTCTTAGAGACAACAGTTTCCCCTGGGACCACAGGAGGATCTGATGCGCCAGTCTGCATAGAGGGCGAGACCTCAGACCCCCCTGATGGTTTAAATAGGCCACTACCGACATATTGTCTGACCTCACAAGGACATGATGTCCTTTGAGGTCCGGCAGGAAGCTCCTCAGAGCTCAGAAAACAGCCAATATCTCCAGGCAGTTTATGTGCCAGGTGGAATGATGGTCCTGCCATAGGCCTGTCATAAAGCGGCCGTCCATGACCGCGCCCCAGCCCGTGAGGGAGGCGTCTGTCGAAACGGTTTTCCGGCGACAAGACGCTCCCAACACTGGACCTTGGGACAGAAACCAAGCTTTTTTCCACATAGATAGGGAACGAAGGCATCTGCGCGTAACCCTGATCATGCGGAATGGGTTCCCCCTCGGGGAGAACCCCTTTGTTTTCAACCACCACTGAAGGGCCCTCATGTGCAGCAGGCCGAATGGAATAATTTTGGACGCTGCTGCCATGAGCCCTAACACTCTCTGAAAATGTTTCACAGTAATGGCTTGGCCTAGCTTTATCCTGAACACCACCAAACAGGAACGTGGTTCTCTGGGCTGGTGTCAACACGCTCTTTTTCGTGTTGAGTCTCAACCCCAGGCTTTGAATGTGGGAGAGGACGACATCTCGATGCCGAACCGCCAGCTCTTGTGACTGGGCCAGAATCAGCCAGTCGTCGATATAATTGAGCACCCTGATGCCCTGGAGCCTCAGCGGTGCCAGAGCTGCATCCATACATTTGGTAAATGTGTGAGGGGAGAGAGTTAGGCCGAACGGAATAACCCGATATTGGTACGCTTCACCCCCGAAAGCGAACCTCAGGAACTTCCTATGAGATGGAAGGATGGATATGTGGAAGTATGCGTCCTTTAGATCTATCGTGACAAACTAATCCTTGGATTGGATGATGGGAATAGTGAGCATCTTGAACCTGAATCTCCTCAGGGACCGATTCAAATGCCTGAGATCTATAATTGGACGCAATCCCCCATCCTTTTTGGGAACTATAAAGTAGCGGCTGTAAAACCCGGACTCCCTGTCCGGTGGAGGAATACATTTTATAGCCTCCTTTACCAGCAGGGAGTTTACTTTCTGTTCCAATACCCGACCCTGCACTGGGTCGACTGCAGTCCAGACCACCCCATTGAACCTTGGTGGGCGGAAACCGAACTGCAGCCTGTACCCCTTCTGAAGAGTGCGCAGGGCCCAGGGCGAAATATTCGTACGATTTTTCCACGCATCAAAATATTTTACCAAGGGAACCAGGCTCTCGAGCCTGGCTCCGGGTACCAATGCAGTGCACGTTCGCTGGAAACCGATGTGTCCCGAAGCGCACTTGGCGGCGGGAAGTCGACATCGATTTCCTGCGGGCTCCGCGGAGCTCCGCCACGGGTGGGGCCACCCACAGAGAACATAGACTGGCTAGGATCTCTTAGACTAAGCCTTTTTAGCCAGGTCGCCCTGCTGCTGTTGGGGCTTCGCCTGAGAGCGTTGTCTATGCCCCAAGCTCCCTGAGGAGGGGTTCTAGAAGCGACGCTCTCCTTTTGCGCCTATTTGTAGACGCCAGCATTTTAATTCCTCAGAATTAAATGCAGCCAAAAACACAGGATAAGTGAAACATGGTCTGAATGGTAGGCTGGATTAAAATATCTAACTTTATAAAGTCAGATAGTATTCCTTCATTTTAATTTCTTAAAATTCAGTGCAGCATAATTATCAGACAATACTGTTTTAATGTGTTATACTGTCTCGTAATCAACACGCTGCGTCGGCAAACGCGAGATTCGAGCCGTTACAATATATTTGACTTTCATCCCTCGAGAAGAAAGTTAAAAGGTGCGAGGCTGAAACATCCACAATACACGCATGTACGCGTCGAGATATTTCTCAATGAACACAGCCAGCACCCTCGGGAGCTGATTGTGAATGCCTCGCACCCAAACAGTATTATTATTTCACAGATCGTGTGTGTTGATACAGTGTCTTTATTGCAGTAGACTCGTAATCTACGCGCTGCCTCGGCAAACGCGAGATTCGAGTCGTTCACATTCACAATATGTTTGGCTTTCATCTCTCGAGAAGAAAGTCAATGGGCGCGAGGCTGAGACACCCGAAAACGCACGTTAACTGTGTGCGTGGAGATATTTCTCAGTGAACACAGCCTCAGGTGCTGACCGTGCATGCCTCGCACCCACACATTATCTTTATTGCAGTAGACTAGTAATCTACACGCTGCCACAGCAAACGCGAGATCCGAGCCACTAGATTCTATATTGCAAAGCAGACCTTCATTTGTGACAATTCTTACGGGACAAACAACACCAAATAGGACAGACAGTTTGTACACAGAGCGCTTGCTGAAGAGCAAAAAGCTGACATCTCATGTGTGTCGGCGTCCTTTATAGCTTCCGCTTGTATGCCGTCACACATTACGTCATGACGCAACACCAATCAGAGATTGGCTTAGTTTCATTCATCCTTCAGAGCCGCTACGCTGAGGGGCGTTCCCCCGAAGTGTCATTCGACGCAGTTCGAGTTTCCTCGAAAGGGAACTACTAACAAAAAATGAGATTAGAAAAGAAAAAAAAAACATTCAAAGAGAATCAAAATAAATAAATTACAATTAAATAAATAAATAAATACAATCAAGATAACGACCAAATATGTCTATGTATTGTATGTAGGGATAAAGACAGTTATGATACCTATAATCAGGTGGTATTTTTCACCAAATTCTTCTGTCATTTGGTAGAAACTTGTCGCAAATATAGACATGCATTCATCTTTTAAAACTATGGAAACATCTACATTAAATAATGATACGATGTTTAACTATTTTGCCGCTTGATAACCATTGTAAAATCTGAGATCCACTCATCTATTCTAAAGAAAACTGCACTTGTGACTACTTATGTATAGTATAGATTATAAAGGCGATAAACTGACTAATAGATATTATGCTTAAAGGGCCCATGGTGTGGTATCAGAAGTTTGAGTATGCAGTAGGCCACTGGCTGCAGAAGACTGCAGAGCACGTGTTCGGCTGTGTACTGTGCAGCCCTGGATGTTTCAGTCTTTTCAGAGGAGCCGCACTCATGGACGACAACGTCATGAAGAGGTATACAACTAAAGCCAGTGAAGCCAGCCACTGCGTCCAGTATGATCAAGGTAATGTCTACATGAAGCAAACCAAATCTCAAATAATATCAATTCAGCCTAGACTAAACAAATTCACCCTCTTTTTTTCGGTGTAACGTCAGGTGAGGACCGCTGGTTATGCACTCTGCTTCTGCAGCAGGGGTGGAGGGTTGAGTATAATGCAGCATCTGATGCCTACACCAATGCGCCTCAGAATTTTAAAGAGTTCTACAACCAGCGCAGACGCTGGGGACCTTCTACCATGGCCAACACCATCGACCTCTTGGGCTCAGGACGACTGACCTCTCAGAGGAACAGCTCTATCTCAAAACTTTACATCTTGTACCAGATTATCAGCATGGCAGCTTCCATCTTGGGCCCTGCCACTATCTGTCTCATGATATCAGGTAAGGTTTTGCTTGCATAGAAAAATTGACAGTAATTTATTTGCATTAGAATCATTGTGCTGTTTTATGGCAAAAAAAGAGCTTTTAAAGGGCTGTTAAAGTGTGTTCTTTATCTTGCAGGAAGCTTTATGTTCATTATGGAAATGAGTGGAAATATTGCTCTTGCTTTGGCCATAGTGCCCCCTACTGTCTATCTCATCTTATGCTTCAAACTGACATCTGACATGCAGATTAAAATTGCAGCAATTATGAGTGTGTTCTACGCATTTCTCATGGGGGGAACTGTTCTCTGCATCATAGGTAACGGCTGTGTCTTTTTTCATGCGTAAAAAACAATTTCTAACATCAATATTTTTAGACTGCACTGCAAAAACTTTCTTTCCTCATCTCTACTCTCATAGGGGATTTAGTGAGGCAAAAAACTTTTCTGACCCCCAGTGGTCTGTTCCTCATCGGCATGGTGGCGTTGTACATCATCACGGCAGCTTTACACCCTCAGGAGTTCTTACTGATCATCTATGGGTTGTTATACTTTCTCTGCATTCCCAGCGGGTATTTACTCTTGGCCATTTACTGTATAGTCAACATGAACAATGTCACGTGGGGCACTCGTGAAACCGGCGGCCAGGCTAAGACTACAGCAGTCGATACCATCAAGAAGAAGTTCATGAATGCCACATGTTGCAAATGTCCATGTTTGAATTCTGAAGAGGATTCGAGCAAGGAGATACTACCTCTAGCAACCATAGCAGAAACTGAAAAGCCACATATTCCTTTGGAAACACAAACGTAAAAAAAAAAAAAAAAAAAACTACTACACTATAGCACAAATTCACATTGTTTCATTCCATTTCTATTCACCTGTAGAATTTTAATATTTTTACATATTAAAAAAAATAATAACAAATTAATTACTTTCAGATTACAGTGGATGTTTTTAATACTACTATCACTAATAATAATAATAATAATAATAATAATAATAATAATAATACTGTATTCTTACAGGGCAGAGGAGGTCCCACCCAATGCTCCTCAAAGTAAGTATGACTTCCATACTTAATATCCTAATATTCTAGCTGTTGACTTATTGAATTAGATTATGATTAAAACGGTTATATATTTAATTCCAAAAGCTTGGATTGAACATCTGCAGAATAAATCTTATGACTTTACCTTGGAGGAACATGCACTTCCAATGGTGAGACAAATTGTAATAAATAAATTATATGATATGATATTATATGTGTTTATATAATTTTTTATAATTTATTTATTTTTGCAAAATGATTATGTTCATTATTATTCTGCCATATCATATACATGACTACATTTGAATGGAGAAACTCGCTTTTTGCAGCTTTACTTTTTTGTTTTGTTTTGTTTTTGGCTGTGCTAACTGGCCCAACTTTGTGCCACTGGTTGCTGCAGATATTTCAGGTGCTGGTGCATAGTGCATACACATAATATAAATTTACCGTTTCACCACATGCAGGATGAAATCAAGTTCTGGAGAGGATTGCAAAAAAAATATCTAGAACCTCTTAAAGAGAATAAAGACCAACAGGAAAAAATGGCTAATGATCTGAGAGAACTTCGAAATAAGGTAAGCCTCGTAAGCTTGTTAATATGCAAAAATTACTTCGTATGTGGTTTTGTCTATGCTCTGGAACAGTAAAGTTTTGTCTCCATGCTGTTTTGCTGTTCTCTTTCATATAGGTTACATTTGCCTTTTTCTTCTGCAATGCACTTTGGCTAGTGGCAACTTTCTTCCTTGAGACAATTGGTGACTCAGTCTCCATAACGATCCCAAAACTGTTTCCTAATGGGACTCTATCCAAAACAGAAGTGTTTTACATTGATCCAATTGGACTGATGTTTCTACTGAGCTTTGCATTATTGCTGATAGTGCAATTTATTGCAATGCTATACCACAGGTAACTAAACATGCACAAAAGAAAAAAAACACTATCACTGATTCTTTTATATGGTTGAAATTGCCAGACCTTTTTGTTTTAGTGTTTCAATGCATATATATAAAAGCAGTCTAAAGTCTGAAGATAAAACATTCGGTTGTATTCTTATTTTTAGCAATGGTGTATTTATTATGTTCTTTTGTTTCAGAATCTACACATTAATCCATTTTGTGGCGTATGCTGGTACAGAAGTTAAAGCTCAAAGAAAGCAGTCACATCAGGTGAGCCAATGGATCACACACTAAATTGCCATTATTTTTTTTTATTTTTTTTTATTAACGATGTCCACGTTTCAATAGGTTGCACATATCCAGGACTCAAACCCCCAGTAAGAGACGGAGCCAGATACAGCCTTATGTATTCAGAAGCACTTTGTTGTGACCCCATGAGCTGTGACTTCAGTATAAGGATTTGTATTTTTAACCCATTTAATCCCAAATTTTTCCCAGACACAAAAATATCCAAATCATGTGTCATTAGTATCCCTTTGAAACAATCAATCATAATTTTTTTAAATTTTCATGGAAAAGTGTGTGAAAAAGTGAGTTTTATGATCGGTCACAATTGTGACCGGTGGGATAATGTGTTGTATCAACCATTGGACAGAATGAACATAGGTCTATTTGACCTGTGCAGTGTGTGTGTGTGTGTGTGTGTGTGCGCGTGTGTGTATGTGTGCGTGTGTGTGTGCGAGTGTGTGCATGTGTGTGTTTGCGTGTGTATGTGTGTGTGTGCGTGCGTGTGGGGTGTGCGTGTGTGCATGTGTGTGTGTGGTGTGCGTGGGTGTGTGTGTTGTGCGTGTGGGGTGTGCGTGTGTGGTGTGTGTATGTGTGGGGTGTGTGGTGTGTGTGTGGGCTGTGCGTGTGTGTGGGGTGTGTGGTGTGCGTGTGTGGGCTGTGCGTGTGTGGGGTGTGTGGTGTGCATGTGTGTGGTGTGCATGTGTGTCGTGTGCATGTGTGTGGGGTGTGCGTGTGTGTGGGGTGTGTGGTGTGTGTGTGGGGTGTGCGTGTGTGTGTGTGTGTGCGCGTGTGGGCTGTGCGTGTGTGGGGTGTGTGGTGTGCATGTGTGTGGTGTGCATGTGTGTGGTGTGTGTCGTGTGCATGTGTGTGGGGTGTGTTGTGTGCGTGCGTGTGGGGTGTGTGGAGTGCGTGTGGTGTGCGTGGGGTCTGTGGTGTGCGTGGGGTGTGTGGTGTGTGTGGGGTGTGTGGTGTGCGTGCGTGTGGGGTGTGTGGTGTGTGTAGGGTGTGTGGTGTGCGTGCGTGTGGGGTGTGTGTGTGGTGTGCGAGCGTGTGTGTGGGGTGTGTGGTGTGCGTGTGTGTGGGGTGTGTGGTGTGCATGTGTGTGGTGTGTGGTGTGCATGTGTGTGGGGTGTGCGTGTGGGGTGAGAGGTGTGGGGTGTGTGGTGTGCCTGGGGTCTGTGGTGTGCGTGTGTGTGGGGTGTATGTGGGGTGTGTGGTCTGTGTGGGGTGTGTGGTGTGCGTGCGTGTGGGGTGTGTGTGGTGTGCGAGCGTGTGGTGGGGTGTGTGGTGTGCGTGGGGTCTGTGGTGTGCGTGTGTGTGGGGTGTGTGGTGTGCGTGTGTGTGGGGCGTGTGGTGTGCGTGTGTGGGGTGTGTGGTGTGTGTGTGTGTGTGGTGTTGGGTGTGTGGTGTGTTGTGTGTGTGGGGTGTGTTGTGTGTGTGGTGTTGGGCGTGGGGTGTGTGTGTGGGGGGTGTGTGTGTGTGGGGGGTGTGTGGTGTGCGTGCGTGTGGGGTGTGGGGTGTGTGGTGTTGGGTGTGCGTGTGGTGTGCGTGTGTGTGGGGTGTGTGTGTATGTGGTGTTGGGTGTGCATGTTGGGCGTGTGGTGTGCGTGGGGTGTGTGGTGTGCGAGTGTGTGGGGTGTGTGCGTGGGGTGTGTGGTGTGCATGTGTGTGGTGTGTGTCGTGTGCATGTGTGTGGGGTGTGTGTGTATGTGTCTGTGTGTAAAATTAGGTAGAAAGTTAGGTAGCAGCAGAAAGTAAGGTAGAACAGTTAGCCTATGTGTATTAGCATGTAGATACAATGGGTTATCCCACCGGTCACGGTGTTTGTGAGTTCTATGACCACATTAAACAAAGTTGAGTCATTGCAAATGCATATATCAATACTAGACACCTTAAACATGATGTGTACCAAAAATCTATGTCTTATCTTTATGTTAACATACTTTACTAATCTTTTCTTTGGGAGCTTTCTTACTGCCATCCTCTTCTCTTGGTGCAAACAGGAAATAAACAGCTCTGGTCATGTGACAATTTACAGTAAACATGCAACACTGCACATAATTTCATTGAGACCCTTTATTATTTCAATATCTGCTCGAAATGCATTGATAGATAATTCAGTAAAAATGTTATACCCTTAGAAATGAAAAAAAAATTTACGGTCACTATTGTGACCGGTGGGATTAAATTCTAAAGGTTTATTGTCCTAGATACTAATGTAGTGCTAGTAACATTTCCTGAATGATTTATTTAAGGAGAATATGTCTATCAATTAATGATTTTTATTGAGTTAATTTCTCGATATGCCAACTAATAATCAGATTAATCACTATCAATTACTGATACCGGGTAGTTTTTGCTAAATATTACATTATTTCTGCCTACTAAAGCTTTGGATATATATGAACATTACTAGAAGTGACCTTTTAAGGCAATCCTAATTTTTTTTTTATTATTATTATTTACACTCAACAGTAAATGTGTACCTCTGTACATCATTTAAAGTATTTAAATAAAAATGATCTATTCTCTTTTGTAATCATCTCTCATTGTGACTCTGGACATTTTAATGTTATTGAATAGAAGGTCAGTTTATGTGTATTCTTATTGACTTTACTTTTTTAGAAGATTTTGAGAAGTTTTGTGGCACCTGTTGGATATAATAAGTGCTAGGGTACCATGTGTTTCTTTCTATTATTTATTTTTTTTAAACCGCTAGTAAGAATAATTATTTTATTGTTTTATGTGGGTTGCAATAAATTACAAAAAATATACTATACATTATACTATGAATCCTTTAAAAACAAAACACTTCAGATCAGTTTTATGCCATCATTGATGTGACATGAATGGTGAATTTGAATGAATGTTATTAGGTTTCCTATACTTACAATATTGATCCTCACAATGTTGGCCAAACACACCCACTCCCACAGACATGGTTAAAGGAGCTGTATGTAAGAACCTTATTTCAAATAATCATAAAATGGTCCTGATATAGACATTAAGAAATCATGTTCATTTCAAATACTTATATCACTGACAACAGTAGTCCGGCTAGGATATTGTCATTTAAAAAGTGAAGTTGCAGCCCTCAACTGATGTTGATGTTGTCATGTTGTGTTTTGGTCTGATGCGCCACCCTCCACCTATCTACCAATCACGAAGTCAGTAGTGTTGCGGCATCCGGGTTGCCAGCTCTGCTCTAGTTACCACAGCTGCAGATACAAACGTGTTGGATTAAAAAATGTTGGACCCTGCAGCCTATCTGGCAACCTCGAGTCAGGGGGGAGGGGGAGGCGATACACCGCTCTACAGTCAATTGAAAGTGATTGCAGTACCAGTTTTGGCCACAATCTTACATACGGCTCCTTTAAGTTAAAGTTTATTTTGATTAGTTTATATCCAAATTACCCATGAGAAAGATCTCAAACACTTTCTAACACTTGTAACAACAGTAAATACAATGGTACAATAAAAATCAGCACCAAATATGTATATGTATAAAATGTTGCCTATAACAATATGAGAGAGTCACAAGAAGCATCTCTAAACAATTATACAAAAATGGGAAACCT